TCAAACCCCAGCAACCTGAGGCTAAATGCTTTGTTGAAGCAGCCACTTAAAGAACTGAGCTAAGGGGCAGGCCCTCAAAATCATATTCTTTCTGATGGGCCGGCCAGATAGCTCAGTGGATTAAAGCACCTGCTTAGGCAGATGCAGGGGTCAGAGGCTGGATCCCCCTCCTGCCTCGATAGCTCTGACCCTGAGATGGTGACTGAAACTGGGTGTGGTGGCTCACACCTGTAATCCCAGTGCTTGGGAAGCTGAAAACAGGAGAACCACTATGAGTCCAATCTGTGTAGTGAGGGCTGGTGAGATGGCTCGGTGGTCTAAAGCACCTACTTAGAACAAGCTAAGCTAAACAAAGCACAGGGACCGCGGTTCAATCCCCCAGCACCACATGCCAGCCAGCCCCGCCCCCTGGTGGGCTGAGCTGGCCACACACACACAAAATAAATAAATAAATATTAAAAAAAAAAATCTGTGTAGTGAGACCCTGTAGACCCTGCACTAAATACAAAAAATAAAATAAATCATATTCTACCTGAATTTGTCTCTGAAAGTATGAAACCTCCCTTGAAGTTTTGCAATATGATTATCTTTTTTTATTTGGGGTGGGGGATCTTTTTGCAACAAGCTCTCATGCAGCCCAGGCTGGCCTTGAACTCACTTTGTAGCTCAGGCCAGCCTCGAATTCACAACAATCCTCCTGCCTCAGCCTCCTGAGTGCTGGAATGAGAGGCATGCACTTGCATGATTCTAAAAGCTAAGTGTTCTTTAATAGAGTTGTAGTAAATGTACAAATATATTCAAGTACAAAGAGTAACTGACACCTTTAACCCTCCACTATGAAAGAAAAGTCACTAAAATGAATTTTAAAAACGTATATATATTCTTGGAGCTGGGAAGATAGCTCAGCAGTCTAAGCACCTGCCTGGCAAGCGCAAGGACTCAAGTTCAATCTCTGGTACTGCATGCCAGGCCAGCCTAGGAACCCCAGGTGCACTGTGCTGGCCACTGAAACTAGGCATGGTGGTGCACACCTATAATCCCAGCGCTGGGGAGGCTGAGACAGCAGGATCATTACAAGTCTGAACTGTGTAGCAAGACGCTGTATCAAATAAATACATCCTAAAAAAAAAAAAAAAAAAAAAAAGCAGGGGCTAGGGAAATAGCTGGGCAGCCTAAGCACCTGCTTGGCACGTGCAAGGATCTGGTTCAATCCCTGCACCACATGCCATGCCAGCCCTTGCACCATGTTGGCCACCAAAACCAGGCACAGTGGCACGCACCTGTAATCCCAGCAGTAGGGAGGCTGACAGGAGGATCACTATGCGTCCAAGCTGTGCTTCGAGACCCTGTACCAAATGAATAAATAAGTAAAAAGACTTTAAAGAAAAAAAGGGCCAGCGAGATAGTTCAATGGACTAATTGCCTGCTTAGGCAAGTGCAGGGGCTGGGGTTCAATCCCTCACACCACATGCCTGGCCAGGCTGGGGCATGGTGGTACACACCTGTAATCCCAGCACTGGGGAGGCTGAAAACAGGATGATCACTAAGAAGTGAGACCCTGCATTTAAAAACAAAACCAAACAGGCATAATAGCACACGCCTATAACCCTAAGGCTGATTCATGAAGGAGGACTGCTGGAGTTCAAAGCGTGCCCAGGCTATTTAGGGAGCCCAGCCCCTTAAAAAAAAAGAAGCTGTGGCAGGGCGATCCCAAATTCCAAGTCAGTTTGGGCCATATATAGCAAGACTCTGTCTCCAAAAAAAAAAAAAAAGGCTCATCTGAATTTCTCTTCTGTTCTGCTTCCTTCATCCTGGCCAGTGCTGTCTGTGAAGTACATTTGAGCCCGTGTTTTATAAGTCCTGCGAATGCTGCCTAGTGCACCCTATCCCCTATTAACATGCCACCTAAAACCTTTAAAACAGTTCTCAATTAACAAAACACAAAGTCGGACTAAGATGATAGGAGATTGAGTACCTTTCAAGGACAAGAACTGTAAACTTACTTCTTCTGTTACAAGTGTTTCATTTTTTTGTTTGTTTGTTTCATCCTAACAAGGTCTTTGTTTAGTACTTTTCCTCTGAAAAATGGAGGGGGGAAACCACACTCTTGGCTTTTTTAAATTACCTATTTTTTCTTATGTAAGATAAGTTGTCAGATAAGCAGAAGGCATATTACTTACATACCATAAAATTCTGTTGAAGGGGAGACCAAGAATACATTATGGGGACCGAGGCGACAGCATTCAGGGTCTTTAATGGGATGACTTGTGTTGGAAAATCCAAGTCACTGGTCACCGAACACTAAAACAGAAAATAAAAGACTCTTATGAATGAGAGGGCGATCTTAGGCTGTAGCTATCAAATTGTAAAGAAATGCTGCCCACTTAAGTAAGTTTGAAAAAATGTTTATTCAACTAAGCCTGTAAAATTCACAAAAATCAAAAAGGATCCTCTCTTCTCTCATCTTTAATAAGGGCGAAAAAATTCTTGCAACTTCGCCAGTTTTCAAAACCCTCTCAGCCCTCTCCTACTTACCACCAAGAGTCACAGGCCGTGCCTCCGCAGTCAAAGCGCCGGACCCAGTGCTCCAGGCTGCACTGCACAGTGCCCACCTCTGCGCCCAGCACACAGGGCAGCCATGCCTATGCACTTAATCTGAGTGGCAGCGGCTGTTGCAGCAGCCTTCCTTCCTCAGAGCTCGCTTCCCTTGTGAAACACCTGAGTGTCATCTGCTGCTATCTGGTGACATACAAACACGAGTCATAGCAGACTGGCATCCAACTGCAGCCAAGCGCTCGCATCTACTGCACACAGCGGGGCCTCAGCACTTCCACGTGCCGGCACTATTCTCAACGTATTACAGGCCTTACCATGGTCTTCCTTTTAACACTCAAAGGTGGGTACAGTTCTTAGCTCATTTTGCAAGTGAGAAAACTAAGAAAAAATAAGTGAATTGCTCAAGCTCATCAGATAAGGCCGTATGTAAGGCCTGGAAGCCTGACTCTGGAGCCCCAGCTCTCACCCAGTACACTACTGCCAGGGTCCACACCTCCAACACGTGCAAGTGCACATGGCCCTTGAAATACCGTATTTCATATAACCTGGGGGATACTGACTTCAAGGTACATCTTTTCCTCCGTGTCACTTAAGAAAAAACATTACTCATTAAACTATGCATAACGCTTTCTTATCACAGTGATTTTAAGAAGGATGTTGGTTTTAGGTATTAACATTTTTGATGCTATATAATATGATAAAAATTCTGTACCCAACCACAGGACTTTCTATCCTGTTCAGGAGTCCAGCTTTTCTTGGAGTACCATTTCCCAATTATCAGCCCTTCAGAACCCTTTCAAAAATATCTTAGGCATATATTCATCATCTACAATCAATGACAACAGAGCAAAAAGAATAAAAACAAAACTGAAAAAATCATATATACTTAATATACACAAACATATATGCTTGTCATATACATGTTTAATGTTGAATTTTAAATGACCTAAAAATAACAGGACTAGGACAGCGAGAGTAGAGTAAAAGCCGTTGGCTGATGGCCACACCCAGCCCCCACCACTGCACCAGGACAGCGAGTGAACCTCAGTCATCACCAGCACTGCCACAGACAAATAACCCCTTCCATTGGGAGGTGAAAGCAAAAGCATAAGATAGTTAGAAAGAATTGTGACAGCGACCATTAATTTTAGCTTTGGAAAAGATAAATACTAGAAACCTCATAATCCAGGTAAATAAGAAGGTGTGAACAGTTTACTAACACTCTAGAATCCCAAATCTTTTCCTTGTCTTTCTTTGGCCGCTAATATGATTCTTCATCCATCCAGCCAATAATCAATAATCAATAATAAGAGCATTAACATTTATTGAGCACTTACTATGTTGGAGGCACTGTGCTAAGTGTTGAGACAGGCGTGGCCTTACACACTCCTGCTACATAACCTTACCATAGCATAGCTTTAGCATCACAATTCCATAAACAAGGACACTGAGGTTTAGAGAATAACACACCTACTTAGAAGGGCAATCAATTACCAAGCCAGAATTAAAGCCTAAGCCTGAATACAACACCCAAGAGCTCACTCAAGGGCTCACAGGGCAAGACCAAGGTGATGCCCCTGCACTTTCAGGGTCAGGCAGAAACACGACAGCGCTGCAGGAGCAGCTCCCGCCAGCTCTCTTCTCCTTCCTCCTACCACCACATCTTCCTTCATTCTTTCTGCTTAACTGGGTAAATCTGAGGGTGAGGAATGGTTATAGCTACTGAGGGATAAAGTATTATATGCCATCTGGTGATTCTACATACAAAATACAGTAATGCCTTGGTTCACAAACACTTCTATTTGCCAACAATTCTGTTGGCAAACACAAGTACTTGACAAAACTTCGCTTCTCTTTGCAAGCTCTGCACTGGGTGACACACGTGACCACAGTTATCTCCCCACACAAACACAGCTCTCTTCCCCCAAATCATAGAACAAATTAAACTCATGAACCCAGGAACCACTATAATTTTCATCTCTTAAGTTAAAGGTGTTGGTTTTTGTTTTCTATTTGATGAGCTACACTGTAACTTCAATCATGCAGCACACAGCCTTTAAGCCTGGGCAGGAGCCGCGTGTCCACCTCTGAGTTACTCATGGGCTTGAACAGCCCAGAGTCACACCCAAGGCCAGACGGTCCAACATGCTCTTCCCCCACTCGATGGGGAGACTGGCTCACTCCTGTGTGTGCTGTGACAGTGCAGACAATGCGCAGGGTACCCCGAGTGAGGCCACCTGGGTTCTACGGCAACAAAGAAAACAAGGAGGCTCAGATGCAGGTGCGGACACTGAGCCCCACTTCCCCTCCCGCACTCTCACCCTCCAGACCCCATCCCCTCAACTGCAAGCCCAATGATTACCAAGGGCAGGAAGGAAGCTCCCTGAGGGCAAGAGCAGCTGAGGCCAAGGGGGGCTTCACCTGTCTTGAAGTAACACCCCATAGCACAGTGTCTCGGAAGTAGGCACTCAAAAAATGTTTCTGGAGGCAGCAGGCTGCATCTGCCAGTAGGCCGGGCGGAGGCTTGGGCTTCGGCTCACGCAGTGCCCAGAGCAGCTGTGTGGAAACTGGCGAGCCCCGCACACTTTAACAACCACACTGCGCACACACCCCTCTCGCTTGTGAGATCAGACTTCAATACAGCGGCCCTTGCTGGTAAAACAGGTCTGGGAATTCTTATATATTGACTTACAGGAAAATTACTCAAAAATCCCAGTTACTTACCAGCAACTTTCATTTTCTTTGAAAATGTATCATCCTTGACAGTTTATATAATTTCAGCCTCATATCACTGAGAGTAGTGTAAAAATTTTACCTCCTGGGTCTTCACAGCATTTTACCTGATCAGAGCCAAGGGTCCTAGGCTCAGAAGTCACCAGGAAGCCTGCATCAGCAAAATGAATTCTCTAATTCTATTCCAACTTGAGGAGCACACAAGGAAGTTAGCACAGACGATTCGGCAACAATGGTAAAGAGAGGGGAAATCTAGTTATCGAGGATGCTACATTTTCAGAGAAACGCAGCTCACTGGTAAGTAACCAAGCTCCTCTGAGGACGGGTAGACTTACATCAACCAGCTGGTACAACAGGCGACTGTGTGGCTGCACCATGGGAGCTGGAGAGGGAAGTCAAGCCAAAACTAGCAGTTGGAGGAGGACACAACCAAACTGAGACTCTTGGCAGAAGGCTGGTTCCAAGTAAAAACTGTTACGGAAAACCGTAGAGGGAAGAGCAGGTGAATGGCCTGCAGGGAAGGGAGAGACATTAACACACCTACTATGTGCCACGCACTGTGCTAGACTTTACAAAGTTAACTTCTTTCAAATTCACAGCGACCCTGCCAGGTGGATATGGTTCCTCAGCTCAGGGAGGGATTGCTCAGGCCAACAGCCACAGCCATCTTGCCGTGAACAGTTCTACACGAGCCAGTTAAGCCCAACTTCTGACAGCCAGGCGAGAAACCAATTCTTGGCTACTGGCTGGTCCACTGAGGCAGGCTGGGATGGGAGCTGCTGGCTTGCCCAACAGCCTTCAGCAGCCCCTCAACACGACGAGGGCACAGCGGCCCTCCGGGACAGAGCGGGGCAGGAGAAAGCATCGGCCACGTCAGCTCTACAGAAAGGCCGAAGATTTCTCCAACTACCTCAGATTCTTTCTTCAGGATTTGAGGAAACATAACACACCCAGACTTTTTAGCTAGCTCTTGCACTGAAATGGCAGTATATATTATTTAACTTTTAGGTGAAGGAAGTACTGTAGGAAAAAATGGGAATGAGATAAATATTAGATTTGGCTAAATAAGTTTGCAAGACTACAAGTGAGTTCATAACCAGATTAAGAAACCAAAGGGGGGGGGGGGGAGAGAAACCAAAAGAGAAGGTAACTGAATGAGATATTCTTTAAAAACAATATGTCTCCAGCAGCAGAGGAACAAGAAAAAAGAAAAAAAATTAAGATCTCACGCAGATGTATTTAATGAGAGCAACTAATCAAGGATGTTGTCATTAAGCAATAAGAGTGATTCACCCCAGACTATAAATTATTTCAGTTTTTGTTGTTAGATATTTGTTAGGAGCCACGCCAGACCAGAGGAAACCTCTACCCTGGGACATAAGCTCTCCGCCTCCTTGTTCACTTTTATCTCGTGTGTGTCAGGGCTTATACTTCCTTCCTGGAGGGACGCAGCATTTCACTCAGAATGCCAGCACGTGGAGTGCAAGGTCAGAGCTGCAGGCCCCGAGTGAAGGGACCGTACACGCACAGAACCGGAGCGGCCTGGGTAACGCTCAAGGCAGCCGAGGCCCGCCGGGCGCTGCTGAGAGCAAATCATGCCGTCGTTATCTGCACTGCTGCCGGAAACTCCAGCTCTGCTCAAATGTTGGAGACCAGAACAGCAATGCTCACACGACGGGCTCCGGTACAACTACAGACACTCACAGAAAGCACACGCGCGAAGCAGGAGAGAGCCGCATTCACCCTTTACATGCCCACTCAAGTATCTAACTCAAGACTGGCCCTGTGTGCACAAAGTAAAGCCTGCTGTCACTGGAGGGGAAAAGCAACTAAGAAATGGGACACAATATTACAGAAGTTCACGGTTATCAGAAGCTGTTGCAGCAAAACTGTTTTCAAGCCTCGCTTAAATGAAAAAAAAAAAAAAAAGGACAAGCTGCACCAGCTACTAATGAACATGCCAGACTGTCACCCCTGCAACCTGCGCACTAGGTTCCCGGGGAAGGAAGGCTGTTCCTGCTAATTTTTCCAAATAGGTAACAGTCCTCAGCTATTCATTAATTACTCAATAACGAATGCTAGATCAACTGGACAGTTACGTAGAAGATATTATACAGTTACATGGAAGATATTATCCTCTCTATTCCAAAAGGAAGATCTAAATAATCAAAAATACCCAGAAATAATGTGAAAATGAAAAACTCCACAAGACAATATTTTTTTAAAAAAACAACCCTAGTATTTCCAAAAAAAAATTTTTAAAAAAAGATCTTGGGCTGGGGAGATGCTCAGCAGCACAAGCACCTGCTTGGCAAGTTGGAGGTCTGAGTTCAATTCCTGGTATTAAAAAAAAAAAAAAATTCTTATAAATTACTTAAGAGGAGACCAACATGACTTTAAAGGACCTAATACCTTAATAACCAATCCTCAAAAGAAATATAAACAAGTGATATTCAATTGAACTAAACTAAAGGGAACCTGGAACTAACAATTTTTTATCTATCAGAGTGACAGAGACTGATAATATTTTGTGTTGAGAATAAAAGTGAACTCATGTCCATAAATAGATACTGGAGGCATAATTTAAACTTTTTGAAGGGACATTTGGTAATACATTAAGATTTAAAGCACACATATTAATTCCTTTACCAGGAACTTTTCATATACAACTATTCAAAAGATGCAAAGATGTAAATGAGGAGTTTGGTCCAGGGATAGAGCTCGGTGCCACAGCGCCTTCCTGGCAAGCACAAGGTCCTAAGTTCAATTCCTGGTACCAAAAAAAATAAAGTTAAATTAAAAGACAATATATAAAAATCAAATAATATAAAGATGTTCACTACAACACTAATAGT